ATCTTCCATATTTTTTAGTCTTACATATGAAGACTTAATAAACTTGAATTTTTAATTCTATAGGAGAATCATCAAAATGTTTTGTAACATGGTTGATACGTCAGAATTACGTTTTTGGTGCTCATCTGATTGCAAATGAGTGGAAAGACGCCGTACATTACGTATTTGTTCGTCACAGCGAATATTTTGGAAACGCAACTGCTGTGACAAACTTAAAATGTGGATAAGGACGCATTTGAGAGCAAGGATCTGTGCAAAAATGAGAGTAGTAACCGACTTTGGTGGAACTCGGCATATCTCCGTATTTTCCCCTAAAAAACACGCTGGTTATCTGTCACGAAAGGTCGAGTCAACGTAAAAAAACGTTGCACAATCAAAAACGAAAAAAATTCAAATTAATTCAAGTTACCTATATAATTCGAAACTGCATATCGTGAAAATAAATTAGTCTGAAACCATGTACGGATTGCAATACCAGTGAATATATAGCTTAATATATCAAAACAAGATAAAAATAAAAAACGAAAAGTAAAATAACATTAATCGTAAACAAGAATTACAAGAAAGTCACTCAAAACCATAAAACTCTTCACCTGAATGAATATAAAATGAATCAAGATCCATTACAATTTCTTAGGTATATCACCCAGTTCATTTCTGAAATCAGTCCTTCGTCATCTGTTTGGCGTCGTAGTATAGAGTACATCGTCTTTATTAAATTAACCCGCTTTTAATAACTGATATCGTAACACGTTGTTAACTTTCAAAGATCCACCTGCGCATTTCTTAACATGATACTCTTTCAGTCTTTCTCGATTTACTATAGTCCTCAATTTAAGTCATTATCCACTTCTCCCATCTGGAACGAAACGTTGACTTTATTTATTTATTTAAGATTTATTAATGGATAAATGAAGCGGCTGAATCTTTTCAGTTTTCTGAATCCGCAATAATTGCTAATTTTGAATACTTGCCTACCAACCATTTCACATTGGCGGTAATATGCGCATGGCAAGAGTCCATTATTAATGAGGATTTTGGACTGAAAAAGGCTTCCTTTCAATTCCTACAAAGATTTTCTTCCCATACTTTCATTATGCCTTGATAGATCCACACCTTCTCATTCACAGCAATCAAAGTGTCTCTTGGAAAATTTACTCTAGGACTGGATTTTATGTCTTAAATACAACCAAGGGAAGTTTCCCACCATTGGAAATTACATTTAACACAGCAGTAAAACTCGGCTTCTCATGTCTAGTCGAGGCTACGGAAACTTCTTTTGATGCTTATAAATTAACAGTTCTTGAATCTGGGAAATCAAGGCTAACAGGTACTTCGTTTCACATGCCACAAATTGTCTTTAAGTAAAAATATATCAATTTCTCTACTTTCGCTGCCCAGTCATCGGGTAGTTTTTGCGGATGAACGAATGCATAAACTGTTCCGTTTCATAAATGAAAAGACCATCATGGGTAAGCTTTGAAATTTTCTATTTTGCCTCTTCTGCAACCAATTTTTCCTCAACAAAATGCTGGTTGTTCACACCTTATGTCCTTTAGATCTCTCTGAAAGAACCCACTCGAGAACTGTTTCTTAGAGCTCCGGCAAGAAGCATCTCCTTACCTCACTGCAAATTTCTTCTTGTGTAAACATTTTAGAACTTCTTCTTTCCTCCACTCCCGTATAATGGAATCCCCAACGTTAAATTTCCTTGCTGCCTCATGATTCCTCTTTTCTTTCGCGTAAATAATGGCCACCGGCTTAAACATCACTGCATAAGATTTTCTCTGCACAGTATTTTTTCTAAGGGTAATTTTCACATGAGCAACTTTCAATTTAAAACTAAACACTTGCAGAGTAGGCGTGTTCAGAGGCCAGAAGGAATATGGTGACTCTAGTTAATTCTTCTGTTTGTTTGTTTTAGATACAGGCACATCCAATTATATCATTCTAATATTCATTGGAAATAGACAACACGTTACCTATACATTTTCATGAGCATTAGATATTACAAAAGTCACGGTATCTACTAGGTGCGATTTATCTATACAGTCTAAAAAGCATAAAGAAGTACGATATGCCCGTTATCGATAGGAAAATACGGTAGTTTGCATTCTGAACCTTAACCATAAAAAAATGGAATCTTTCTTATACAATGTATCTGTATCCGTACAATCTTTGATGCACGTTATATGTACAATGCAAAAACATCAGATTTTTTATCATTAAGGCGTACCGATAAAAGAACTGATGCCACTGACTTACGCCGGCAACAGTACGCTACGGTGTAACGAAATATGGCTAACCATTACTATCTGTGTACGATTCGCTAATTAGCATTTAGGACTCTTTCGGACGCTAAGAAGTGACATTTATGTGAAGTGTGAAGTTATGTCTGAATTCCTTTGACAGTTTTGCAAGAGTCCTGAAGTCCTGACTCCGTCTTGCAGACGAATTTATTGCCGAAAGAAACGATTTTAACGACAAAACAATAAAAACAATTTGTAACATTTAAATTAGCACATCTATAATTAAGCACTTGTTTTAAATTTAAATAAATTTCTTAACTAACCACCAAATTCTACTCAAACATTAAGCAATTTGTAACTGATGCATTAAATATAAATCTTGGATACCGCAAATTTCGAAAAAAGCATGATTACGTAAACGAACTTACCCGCTAACAAAACACCTACTAGCGATGACGAACTGCACGCGTAAAAAGTAGACGCAGCCGCTAATACGACATATTCAGGGGGCATCTGAAGATGATCATGTTCACAGGTGAATAGCTTTGCGATCATAAGATCGTTTTCAGGTAATTTCATGTACTGAACATTAGACTGCGAAAGGCACTAGTTAATGACTTCAATGTTTTAATAGTTAAATAGTTTAAGGCCGAAACTGGATAAAACAAAAACAGCGACTACATCTTAAAACGTAGAACAAAGCTCACAAAAGTTGATAATAATATATAATAATAGCAAGAGACTTTTCAATAATTTTGCAAACTAAAAATAGCGGCAGTAACTTATAACGGAATAGCAAAATCCCTGAGAAGCAGTTTACAAAGTGGCCGCATGGGATGACGGTGGTCAACGTTCTGTCGCAGTCTTTCATTGGCTGAATCAGTAGAACAAGACCAAGGTCAAATGTCAAGCGGAGGAGTGGATCTGAGCCTGAATGACAAACTCATTGTTGATACCAGTCACTGCATCGGCATCGACGGTCGTCTGTTCCGATGATGCAGTTGTGGTCGTCGAGTCGTCGACGGCGATCTGCTTGCCAAAGTCATCATCGGACATCAATTCCCGAGTATCCTTTGGAATAGCACAGCAATCAAAGGATACCATTACTTTTGCGTCGGTGTGCAATAGGCCAGCAGATTTTGCCGAAAAATCGCGGCCATTGTGGCAGTCATCAGGATTGCTTATAGGAGCACTGTGTCGATTCGGTCTGGGAACCTTCTTGGTACCGGCAATGCCGGGAAGTAGCAGATCGACGGTAGTCGTTTGTTCTGAATCGTCACAGTTGCCGGTCATCGTCGAATAGCCCGGGTCAGACGATTCGGTTCGCGGACCGGGTCGCCATCTTGGCCTCGCCCGAGGTGCCGGAAGAACTAGGTTCTGACGCTCGAAGGACGCCAACAACAGGCCAACACCGTTTTGGGAAGGGGGTGGCATATTCTTCAGCTGTGGCTGCACCTGCGGGCTACCTAACACCCCACCGTCGTCGAAATGAAACTCCTCTTCCAATTCATCGTTACTGTTTAATCGCGACCCAGAACTGCTGTTCAATCTATTCATGATATTCGTCACCAGATGACGGTACCAGTATACACCGACCACAAGAAGCACAAAAACGCCCATAATTCCACCAGCTACCGGACCAATAGGAGTCGATGATGCCATAAAAGCATCGCCAAGCAGTTCTGAAACGAGAGCACCATTAATCATACATTTACGTAGCAAAGTAAATTAGCAATTCAAATGTAATTAGATTGAATTAATTAATATAAACATGGGAAAATTCGATAAAATTAATGAGAAAACATTTAGGTCTTCACTATCTACTGGATGTTACGCAGCAGGGAAAACTTCTGTTATTATTACGGCATCCTTCAGTATACATAAACTGGTATTTACTCTAAATACACCACTGTAATAAAAACGCTTAATGAAACACGTAAACTGCATCATTAAGCACTTCGCAATATACCCACACATATGACGTGTGCATTACGGAAGTTATCAAGACACTGAAAAAACATATTACAGCAAACCTTTAAAAAATGGATAAAGAAAATTGATGAAGTTTCTTCGAGGAACACTATTCGAACTAAACTGATAGCATACAGACCAAAAAAGAATCAAAACGAGCGAATGAGAAAGATTATGGTAGAGAATTCTTCTGCATGATCCGACTGAACGGAATAAGTTGGAAAAAATATTCCCATGAGAGAGAAAGGCTCTAACGGTCGTCTAAACTTTTTAAGTGATTTCAGGACTGAGGCATTAAAAACGGATACAGCTGAAACGAAAACAATGCAAAGTCTAGATCCAAGATCCTGGCAGAAAAACTAAATTAGAAATGCCTGTTACAATTCAAATCTGAGGCCCCTGATCATCAGTGAAGAGGACTAGACAAAAGAAGAAAGGAAACTTTTAAGCTGCTAGGATGTCGATCTCCGATATACAGCGTTGCTCATACCCTAGAAGGCACAAGATTTCGGTTCCATTGCAAGTTCAACATACAAACTTCTGCCCACAGTCATGGATAACGTATCTCTGATTCTGAATTTCTAAAAGGGAAATGCAAACGACTCAGCAACGATCCAAACTTGTAATCATTCGACTGCTCGGCTACTCCACAATTATTGAGGTACCATAATCAAAAAATTAAATAGCTGTAATGTATAATTATTAGTCCCACTACTAACACAGTAGTTATTTCTGGTACTAAACCCAAAATATGAACGTTAATAGCGTTGGTAAGAATACCAAATACAGACACTAATATAGTATTACTAATAAATAACAGCAGTATTCTAATAGCACTGGTATCTGAATACTAAGTCCTACCGAATATGCTATTAATACTATTGGTATTACCATTTACAATGCTGGCCGCAGCAGTTAGCACCAGCACCGCTTATCAGCAGTGCAAGTAGTATAGAAATATCTTTTTAATTCGCAGCCACAAAGGATGAAACAAGTCAAGAATTAGCAAAAACTTAGTTAAATCTAGGACCATAAAAACTTCGAACCATCTTATTAGACAAAAAAAGTGAAAGACAAAATAAGCAACCAATACCTTAAAATGTTGTACTGAACTAAAGTTCATTTACTTTAACAGCTGAACGGAAAGTTTCTTTAATAGAGTAAAGAATGGAAATGTTAATGTAATGACTGTCATAAACCATTACTTAGCATAACATAAAACAATCATCAAAATCATTAAATATAAGTAAATTAAAGTTACTGATTTTGCAGTTACAATTTATTGGAAATTCCTAGCGTGATATATTGCGCAAAAATAAGGGATAAATAAGGAATATTTCTAATGAACAGCTGAACGTAGGCGCTCAGATCAATTTGACCACTATGTAAGACATTTACAAAAGTCATTTCTCACTCTTTAAGTCAATCTGGGTGATGGGGTAGTGGCGTATCAGTTAGCGGGTTCAAATCCCATTCACACCAAAAACCTAGTCTTATTAACTGCCAGTATCCTTAAAGAAAGAATTCAGAACACCGTGCTTCGGCTTATGCCAAGAACCTGAATGCAGGTAGTTGATCTGTGAGAAACAGGGGTCTTAAGGAGCGGTGAAGCCACAACATGCAAGACATGGCATACTGTTTGATACGAACGTTATGTGTGCAGTTCACCCTGGCAAGCCAGACAGATAACCAAAAATCAGTAGAGGGTGCAATAAACGGCGAACAAGTAAATGTATTGCAGCAAGGTGTAACTGCACAAATCAGTCATGACTTGTATCTGATCTGTACACAAACGCGGCCTAAATGAAATGTAAAATTTCGCAATGATTTTTTATATTCAAAATCAAATATGATGACATAACGGAGCTAAACATTCTCGAATCATGAATTATTTCAGGTACTTATTTCCTATATTCGTTTATTTGGTCTTAAATTTATAAGGAAACTCGAGTCATATCGAAATTTTCAATTAAATAGTTTAGAATTAACCAGGTTGCTGTTCTTGCAGCACTGTTATGAGTTGTACTACTAAAACACTAGAGTATGGTAACCATACTACTAGTGAAAATTGGTACTGCTAGGAAACTAGTACCAGCCAAATGTTATGTTGGCAGTACTAGTAGCAGTATTACTAGTGGCAATAGCTGGTGAATTGAGTATATAAAAATATAAATTACCAGTCTCACTAAGTCCAAGAGGGGACAACCCTTGAACACCAGCGAAACAAACATGGACCGACGCGCAGTATGGGTTCTGAAGCGGTGTTGAATGGTCGTATTTGTAGATACACCATTCACAGCCGATGACCGCTGAGCATGAGCTAAAAAGTGCTGTATTTAGCCAAATGGATATGGGCCACGTTTACCTTTCAGAGTTGTACTCCATGCAGTTCGTGTTCAAGCACTGATGAAGGTCAACGCTCGACCACTGGAAGAAATCATAATCAGAATGAAAACTGCGAAAAGTGTTCAGTTCACACATCGGGTACCTGCAAAAAAGACATGATTCGAAACATGGCGCAAAGTGGCCTTAAAATAAATTAAATTTATGAAGACTGTCCCTAAAAACGGGAAAAGACGAGACTGAATATCGTGCACTAACAAATTACTAAACAAGACACTATGTATAATAGACTGAATTTCAGTTAACAGCAAACGGCCGATTACAGAATTAGCTGAAGAAGAATTTAAAAGATACATCACGTCACTAAATCATACTCCATACGCAGTAAACTGAAAAATTAGGAAAACAAGATTAACCCAATGGGTGGTAAACAATACGTCATAAAATTATAGCTAATCATCGGTTGCTAGAAAAATCCTACGTTTGCAGCATTAACTTGAGAGAATACAGATGCTGCAAGCAATTGTCTGGAGGAGTGAAAAGAAGAACGCTTTTCGAAACTAATCGACTGACGCACTCACCCGCTAACAATTGCTTCCACACTTTCGAACAAAAGTGCTGTCCAAACGAGCTGAAACTATCGTGTTGGAGACCAATAATTAGTACTTCAACAGCGAGAGCGATTTCTATCCAGAAAGTACTGCAAAATAGGATTCAAGTAAAAAGTAGTCTTCTACGTATAGTGAGATACACTGGCGCGGACCGATTTTTCGAAACATTGACGGTCACCCTGTCAACTTACTGGATGTTATGTAATCCGTGAAGAAAATCGCTGGTGCAGTGACTTGATGTGTAGGGGCATTCGCACGGGCACTCGCACTCGGTCGGTTCTGAGCGGTAGCAGTTGAGGCAGCGGCGGTCAGTGACTGAGCAAGGACAAAACGCCGTTGGCCGATGACAGGATCGATTGACCACGGCCAGAAAAACGTTGGTCAGCGGCACCGGTGCGATCTGGAAGTGCAAACAGCCGTCGTTGCTGCGTATCACGTCTTAAAGCAGAAAATGCGCGCCGTTTTAAACAAAGCACGAAGGGAAGAAATGGAAGTCACTGACCTTCATAGCTGCTGTTGAAGATGTAAACGCGTTGAAGAGTTTGGTCCTCGTAACGCCTGCAAACTACCTTGCGAACAAAACTGCGATACTGAAGTACTTCGCTAGCTATTGCGGGCTCCTAAATCTTAATGTGTCACAAATGAAGAACCAATACAATTCATCAACTGTCACACCTTGTGAGTAATGTGCATACCCTCTGAACGACGGATCAAATCCTCACCAGTTACGTAATTCCCGTAAGCTACGATAAACCCGTGGTCATCAAAGAGAAAACAACTGATGGACTGCTCTCGGCACAGTTTCAAATTCTGCTTCAGAAACCGATGCCAGAAGTTCAACGGAATGTCGACACCGATCACCGCCACCACCGGGTCGTTAACATGGTGCATCGCGGCGTCTTTACCATCATAAAGCGTGTGACTCATTGTCACAAAATACCCGAGACCGGACGTGTCCAAATTTGGCGAAGTCAAAACAACTTTGCTAGGATGTTGCACGGACCGTCGAAACCTACAAAACGTGTATCTTTCATTAAGTAACAAACGAAAGCATTCAAGCACAATCCTGTTTAGACGAAAGGTGGACGATAAATAAAATCGAATCGAACGTTTAAAAAATCAATTCGATTATGAGATTAAAGCTTTCAGGTACATGAAGATTACCTAATTATGCGACTGATTGCGAAGTTGCAACCTATAAGGCATCTGGAAGTAGTACTCATTTTCGAACAGGTAACGCCCTGTCGTGGGCGCTTTCTGTTTC